GAACAAAACAAGCAGTACCAGAGTATCCTTTTCTTGCCCTAGAAGTGTTAAAGTGTCCAATATAATTCTTGAATTTATATTGTGCCATTTCCGATAATTTTACATCTTCAGAAAGCTTAGTCTCTTGCAAACAAAGACAAGTAGGTTCTTCCTTCTCTACCAACATTTTCAAATAATTGGGTTCCTTCCTAAAGACGGCAGATATTCCATTCACATTCCAGCTGATGAATTTAAATTGCTTGTTCAATTCATAGCTATTATTCGTGCCCAAGAAGGTTTTACTCTCCTCTACTATTGTCAATGAGTCAGTATCAGTAGAGGATTGCGATGAGGCTGGAGGTGATGAAGGTGCCTTGAATAGGGAGAGAAGGTTGGATTGCTTCAACTTTTTTGTTGGTCCTTCATTGGATGATGAAGATAATTTCTTGGTGTTTTTTGTTTCTTGCTTTCTTTTCATTTTTTAAACGTGGCGGGCAGTAAAAGTTACCGTTACAAGAATAAACAATTCATAATTTAAAAAAAATAAAAATTTGCTGAATTCACAATGCTATCTTTAAATAATCTTTCGTGAAGATCTTCTCGTAAATGGAAGACAAAAAGAAGACTAACAAAAAATAATCAGCCAATTAAATTTACTCCAACAAAATCAAAATGCGGAGATCACTTCTTAGCATCAAACAACATACTTTCTGCCCTTGCCCTTCCAAAATTACTTCCCATCCATCAAACATTCTTCTCTTATGCACAAGTAGAGTGAATCGACAAGAAGAAAAAAAGGCACAAAAATGAAGAGGTTTTTCGACTCTGCAGGGAGAGTAAAATCTTTTTCTCATCACGAATATTTATTATCTTTATTTATTAGTAGCCTTCTCTTGATGATGTTGTTGTTTAGTACTACTACCATCAATGCAACATCTTCAGATAACAACTTGGCTCCTACATACAAATTGGAAACCATCGCTGGAGGTAATCTTGGTGATGGCTATAATGGACTTGATACACCAATCGGTCATCCACACGCTATTGCATTCTATCCTAGAACAATTCCTACACCTCTTGTAAATTTGGTAGAAGATGAAAGACCTCAAGATTTGATCATTATTGACAGAGCAAATAATTTAATCAGAAAATTAACTTATAATTGGACTGGTGTTATTGTTGATCCTGAACAAGAAGTTTTCGATAACATTCCTACTGTTGTATCAACCATTGCTGGTGTTGCAGCATCAGGTTCATCATCTAATGAAAACACTGATGGCCTTCCAGCTAATACTGTCAAGTTGACCAATCCAAACACAGTCACAGTTTCGTTAATGACTGGT